AAGGTGGAATTTTCAGGTGTTCACTGTTGGTCAGTGAAATGGCAGAATTAATTTGATGACTGATTTTTAAAAATTATTTTATTGTGATAAAAATTACATCTAACAAAAACATTTGCTGACTCAATCTTGTTTTGCATGTACAGTTCAGTGAAATGAGCTATGTTCATCAAGTTGGGCCATCGTTCTCTATATCCCACCAAGATTAACAGGAAAACTCTGTCCCCTAAACCAAAACTCCATCCCCCTTCCCTCTCACATCTAATCAACTATGGCCTCTATAATTTGTCTATATTGGACCGATGGAATAGCACAGTATTTGCCCTTTTCTGACTTACTTCACTCAGTATAATGTTTTCAGAATTGATCCAAATTATAGCATGGAAGCTCTGGTAGCGTAGTGGTTATGAATCAGGCTGCGAACCTTAAGGTTAGCGGTTCGAAACTACCAGCCACTCCGCAGGAGAAACATGAGGCTTTCTACTCCCGTAAAGATTGACACCCTCAGAAACCCTGTACAGGGTCGCTATCGGTCGGAACCGACTCGACGGCACTTAACAACAACAACAATAGCATGGGTCAGTACTTAGTTTCTCTTTATGGCTGTGTCATATTCCATTTTGTGAATATACTACATTTAAACATTTTATTCTTCTGTTAATGGGTATTTAGGTTGTTTCTACTTTTGGGCTATTGTGAATAATGTTGTAGTGCACATTGGTGGACAGGCTTCTGTTTGTGTTCCTGCTTGCATTTCTTTGGGGTATACACTAGGATTGGGACGGCTGATCATATATATTGGTTTTCCAAAGGACCCGAGCTATTGTATTTCTACTCATAATCAGTTTCTACACATAGTTGACAATATGTGTTGCTTTCTATGTTTGAGTCACAAAAATTCTAGGGGTGTGTGTGTATGAGTTTTGATTTGCATCTCCTTATGATAACTGATTTCTTTTTTTGTTTTTGTTTTTTTAACTAAGTCACTTAAATGACTAAATTGATTTAAAGATTTATTTGCTGTATGTATATAAATAAGGAGCTCTGTAGGTGTGGTGAGCTAAGCTTTGGACTGATAACTACAAGGTCGGTGGTTCGAACCCATCAGCTGCTCCATGGTAGAAAGATAAGAATTTCCACTCCCATAAAGATTTACAGCCTGAGAAACCATATGTAGGTCTCTATGATTTGAAATCAACTCCATGACAGTGGTTTGTTTTGTTTTTATGTACATACAGCCTTTCAAGAAAACTGAAATAATACTGTTATACTTGTTGCTGTCATATGAAAAACTGTCACATAACAATAATTGATAGATCTTAGGTTTAGCCTTTGTAATAATTCTAGTGCTTTTTAAAACATGTCTTGGGATTAGCAGCTGTCAGCAGTTAGAACTTGAAACTGATTCATTTATAGGAGTGGAAACTGAGCCAGACATTGCATGCCGCTTTCACCTGTAGGTGAGAGACAGAAAGTAAAAGAGAGAGACTGTTATTTATGGGGTTATATGAGTCCTGGTGTGATGCTGTCGGGTAAAGCACTGGACCGCAAAGTCACTTTGAACCACAAGGTTGGTGGTTCAAACTAACCAGCCACTCCTTGGAAACCCTAAACTGGGTCGCTATGAGTCAGAACTGACTCGACAGCACTTAACAACCACTCAACATGAACTTCAGATCTGTTTTCATCATCTGGAAAAGTTGTACTTTAAAGGTGAAAGAGATAGGGAATACACTTTCATGGAATATATGGACGGTCTAGGCGCTGTGGGCTAATGTGTCAGACTACAAAGTCATTTGAATTGCAAGGTCGGTCGTTCAAGCTCACCCGCTGCTCCTTGGAAACCCTATACAGTGTTGCTATGGGTCGGAATCGACTCAACGGCACTTAACAACAACAACAAATAAACTAAGGGTTTATTTTGGAACATTTGAGCATTCTAAATAATAAAAAACAGCCCTTAGCTATAATAAATTATAGATAAAATTTTCTTTTAGCTTGTATACATAAATATTTAGAAAAACATAATCATAGTGAAAAACAGACCATCTCTATTTAAGAAAAGATAGAATTTGAATACTGACTTTAATGCCTACTACTCAGTGTAGCATAGTGGTTACGAATTGGGCTGTGAACCACAAGGTCAGCAGTTCGAAACCACCAGCTGCTCCGTGGGAGAAAGATGAGGCGTTCTGCTCCCGTAAAGATTTACAGCCTC